CCAAGTAAACTTTTTATGATTTAACAAGAAAATCTTTAACTTAATCATAATTAAGGTTCTCCAATGTAGTACATTTTCACAAAATTTCACAAGGTGTTATCAATACTCTTGACAATGTCAAAATGTGTTTTGTTGTTTTTTTTATTCAAGTTAGCTGGTATGCTTAATAGATATTTGGGCTTTATTAAATTTATTTTGTTTATATTTTCTTTTAATTGTTTCATATTTATTAAGGTAACATTGGCTTACAACACTATATATGATTTCGGGATCTAAATTCACACATCTTTAGATGTACAGTATCACAGAGAATTATCTATTTAACATTTCTGCCTATTTTTAATTTTTTACTTCTTGGTGTTGAATTCTATGAGTTCTTTGTTGATCTTGAATATTAATAATCACTTGCCAAATGAATGACGTGTAAATATTTTCTACCAATCATTAGGACATATTTTCATCTTAGTGACAGATTAGTCTTTAGCACTTTCTATGTTTCTCCCTTACTTGAAATCCTGCCTTTGTATAGTATCCCAACTCTCTAATTATTTTTTCCCATTTAAATTTTGTATCATGATACACTACATATTTTTGAAAAAATACTGGTTTGAGTTGGTGAAGAATCTTCTGGTAGCTTCAGGACTCCATCAAGCATTTTTAAATTTGGTAAACAGGAAAATACTCTGAAGCAAATATTAAAAAAAAAAAAGAAGAAAGAAAGAAAGAAAGGAAATTACATTTAGAAAAAAGCATTTTAATTTACTTATTATTTTTATGAATGGAGTTTGCCTATTATTTCAAGACAGTTTCACTATTCAGTTTATCTTTGCTATGGTTTTAATAAAATACTGTTTATGTTCATTGATTTGGTGACACTGCTCTATCTTATATCCTCAGAGAGAGAATACATAACTCAGGGTATATAAGTGTTGGTAAGAGAAGGGGCTAAATAACAATCTGTTTTTATGAGAAAATTTAAATCTAATTTTTATAAAACTCTAAAATGAATGAGTGATTTTTGCAAAACTTGCCATGATAGAGTGATATGATATATGAGAAAGTTTTAAAAAGGAGAAAATACAGCAATCATTTTTTCAATGATAGTTAAGAAAAAATTCTGGTCAAAAGATGTAAGAGAATGGTTGAGATATAACATTGTACTGGGTTATATCTTATTGACTGAGAACACTTTTGAAAAGCATTTTCTAATTTACCCAGCCACTTCCTCTTTCAGGAAGGGGTCATACTTTAATAGGATCACATCATTCTGTTTAAAGAACTTTGTATTAATAACTAAATATGACCTGGTTTAGTATAACTTGATTGCCATTTAATCCACCTTGAACTTAACCCAGCAGAGTTTACACTACAAAAATAGAAGAACCTCACTATATCTCTCATCTCCACATCATGAATTTTGAATATATATATAGTGTGTCCTCAGGCATACAATATTTCAAACCATCTTAATACTATTGTTTGAAGGCATTTTTTGAGGGAGGCTAGTTTGGACCAAAATATTATATAAAAATCTCACTTATAAATTAACAAAAATGAAATATAATATTGATAAATTATCTTTATGGCAAGGTGAATTTTTATGAACTATGTTTAAACTTCAAGATGAACCTCTTTTAACTGCAGGAAAACATAATTTTAAGCTTCAAAACAATATTATGGTTAAATATTAGTTTAATATTAAGCAGCTGTGGTGCTTATTTTCAGTAACATAAAAATAATTTGAAATTTTATTATAACCAAACATGAAACCTTACTTTTAGACTAGTCTTGGGGGAGAGACAGCTTCAGAAAGATTTATGTGGTAACAACACATTAAAATTTTTATTTTAACAATGTTTCATTGTACATCATTAGTTGAACACTCATAACAGAACTATCTGGAATAGAAAATGTTACCAGAAAACAGAAATGGTCATATGTGAGAGGACTTCTATGAAGAGTTACTTTGTAGATGAAAGGGCAATAATCAGAGAACAGGAATGGAAACCACAAATGATATAATGATTTATATGGCATATTAAAACTGAGATTTGAGATAACTTGTGCTTATATGACAGCTGATAGGTTTTTAGAACTCAGTAACCTTTTTTTTTTTAATTATTTTATTTCCCATAAATACACGGACAATTGTGAACAGTTTATGGAGATAAATAGGTGCCAATATTTTTGCATACACCAGGGCTGCTCATGTACCATTAATATCTCTATGAATGTGTCCAATATTGATAATGGAATAAAAGTAGTTTATTTTTGCCATATGTTAAAGCCCTTTCAGGGCCCCTCACGGTGGCCCAACAGTTTAAAGTGCAGCAGTTTGAAGCTAGCCACAGTTGCTTTAGCGAAGTTCAATCCCCAGATCCCCAGTGTAATAGGTGATCCACACGGCACAGAAGCTGCTCCTGTCTCACCAGCTGCTCCCCTCAGCAGCATATTTTAGTCAATTTTGCTCCCCACTCTGTCTCTGGTGAATCTGCTGAACCCCCCTTCCCTCCTGCCCTGCTGCACCTCTAGTCTACACCCCAGCTCTTGTATCCAAAAATAAATTTTAAAAATCATAAAATATTTTTAACTTGTAACTACACCTCAGATCAATAAATTCAGCTTTTCTAGCCACTTCAGAAGCTCTACTGTATATGCCATCTTAATTTAATTCTCCTGTTTCCCCTGAAGGGACCATTACTTATACTTTAATATTAATCACTTTGTGTGTGTGTGTTTATGTTTCTCCATCTTTTGAGGGTATATATCTGAACATTATTATCTTACCCATTTATTATTATTTTATTCACACTTACAAGTATTTCATTGGTTATAATGACATTTACCAGCAAATTAAAAACACCATGCAAGTTGGGCAAGAATGACAGACAGTGGAAGGAAGAGAACACCTCAATATTAGTAGGTATAGAGGTGCTCATTTCCTGCTTTTTGAACAAGGGTCCTCTATTTGTGTTTTATATTGCTCACAAATCTATAGCCAGCTCTAAAGCTTCTACTGTTATAGATGGTTTCCCTCTATCTAATAAAAAATTTTAATGAAACATTCAGTCAAATGAAATCATATTAAATTAGAGGCCTACAAGGGTGAGAGATCATGGATGTTGTGGTGGTAGGACATTTGTGGGGACTATACCTGTGGTGGTAGGATATTTGTGGGGAATATGGCAAATCTAATATTATACAAAAGTGAACAGCAATGTAAGAAAATAACAAAGTTTCATTAATAAAAATATTAAATAAAATAGGTGCCTAAGATTTATACAGCAGTTATAAATTAAATTAAAAAATATTAAATCTCTATAAAATGGCAAAAAAAAATCAGTTCCTTAGAGGAGATTAAGAACATAAAGTGTGTGTGTGTGTGTGTTTTATGTGAAAGAATTGGGGCATAGGCCAGAAGTGTTTGGGGTGGGTAAGAGGATTCACCAGAGACAGAGTGGGGAACAGAACAGGTGGACTGACTGACATTCATTACTGAAAGGAGCAGTAGTTGAGACAGGAGAGGTTTGTTATGCCATATGTGGGTCAGCTCCCTGGTCGGGGATCAAACTCAGGCCATAGTGGTGACAGTGCTGGAATTTAAACCCTAGGACACCAAAGAGGCACTTAAAAGCATGAATACTCAACACGTAGTGGCATGATAAATGTTTGCTGAGTGAAATTTAAGTAAATGGGAATAACTATAAAAAAAAAACTAAATAGTATTCAAAGTATAAAAGATGACTTAGTACATTCAGGGCCTTACCTTTTACGGTAATTTTGATGAAACTCACAAGGGTTCCTTTTGAGCACAAGGGATTCCAATGGAGTACAGTGTAAACTGGAGAGCCCAGTCAATGTCTCAATGTGGTTTTCAGCCAAGGACAAATGCTGTATCTGAGGTATCTTTGGCAATTGCTTGAAAGATGTAAGGTGGTTTTTGTTCATAATTAAAATTCTGCAGCTAGATATAAAATATAAACATGTCAAGTTTGCCTCATCTAGACTATAAATTCTCAAAAGAATGACAATTATGTTTGCTACAAATCCATTTGTTAAAAAAGAGAAATCTCTATATGAAAATACAACAAAAATTGGTGATTTATGAGACTGTAAGCTTACTAAGCACAGGACTCTGTTTACTTTTCCTGTGTATACACTCAGAACTTAGTATATTATTTGATCCATGGTGAGATACCACCTCACACCAGTGAGAATATCACATATTAAAAAGCTAGCAACAATAAGTGTTGGTGAGGTTGTGGAGAATAAAAGGAACTCTCCTACACTGCTGGTGGGAATGCAAACTGGTACAACCACTATGGAAAGCTGTGTGGAAGTTTCTCAAACTTCTAAAAATGGAATTTCCATCTAACCCAGCAATCCTACTTCTAGATATCTACCCAAAGGACACAAAAACATTGATTCAAATGGACACCTGCACCTCTATGTTTATTGCTGTTCTATTTACAATCGGGAAGATGTGAAATCAACCCAAATGCCCATAAATAGATGACTAGATTCAAAAGATGTGGTACATATACACATAAACCCATGCCTTTTGCAGCAATATAGATGAAGCTGAAAGGGATCATGCTTACTGAAATAAGCCAAAAATAAAAAGGAAAATACCTGATGGTTTCACTCATAGCAGGAGTGTAAAGAATCAGCCAAAAAAAAAAAAAAAGAAAAGAAAATTACTATATTTACTTCAATATAGTAATTGAAGTAAAAACAAACAACAACTATGAGCCAGAGACATTCTATAGGGGAAGAAAGGGGAACAGCATCAAAACTGGGAAGAGCACACAGGACTATGGTGATGGGGTGATGGCACATGGGTGAAGTGATGGTGGGAAGTCCATGGGGGTTACAGCCAAGATGAAAATGTACAAAATAATTATTCAAAATAAAAAATAATACATCCTGAATAAGAGTGAATGATTGCTTATTATATCAGCAATGTAAAAATTCATACAAAAATACTGTAATATGAGGAGTCCATAAAAGTGGCAGCAGGGTGAAGATACTGGACTCATATCCTCTAAATACAACTAAATGTCAAAAAAAAATTAAAAATCCTAAGGGGAAAAAAGAGACAAAGCACACTTTAGGAGTAATAGTCTGAATGAAATAGGAATAATAGTCTGACTGAAAGGTCTAGGAAAAACTTTAAGTGAACTGTTTATAATAGGCAGTTTAACCTAGAATTGCTGGTGCAAAACCCAGCACCCCGTACCTGTTGAATAATGTAAATGCCAAGGCCACGCACTCCTAAGGCTCAAGACTGCATGGGTTTAGGGCGCATGTGAGTTGGCACTCAGGACAGAGCATGCACTGTTGGAGAACTGCAGAGTGGAGGTGCAGAATGAGGACTACTGGATTGAACCTGATGCTCGCAGTATAGAGCCGTTGGTGTCTGAATTGTCAGTGAGATGTGGGTTATAGCACTTTGGTCTCCACATTGACGAGGCTACTGCCCAAACCCCAGGCTGAGACTGAGGGAGTCTAACACCTGCCATGACCCCCACTCACCCACGCAAAAACAAAAATAAAAGGAGCACATGAACAAACTAAAGCTCAAGCACTTGTAAATAATAGGAGCAATAGGAGGATATGATTCAGTGATGGAAATAAAGCAAACCTCTTTTGACCTGTGACCACATATCAATCCATCCCCAGTACTATATCTAGTGCTTAAAAACCACTTAGAGTAGAAGTGGACATGAGGCTGTAAGAAACATTAAGACCTAGATACTAACCTAGAGGAGAGGGAGGAACCCTGCCACACAACTCGGCACCCACAGTCATGAAGTTGGAATTCCTGAATTGACTGGAGTTGATCTTTGTTACCCTATGGCCCCAATTACCTTTCATACCTCCTCCTTCTCCCCAGAACCATGTCTCAGATTATTTCAACAGGTGCAAAGGCCACATTTTGAAATATATCCTTATTAAAAACCCACACACCCAAAAAAATAAAAATGAAGAGACCACAAAAATACACAATGAAGTCAGATGGAAAAAATACCTGACAGGAGCTTCAAGGAAACAAAAGTTATAGAACATGACAGAAGAGTTCAAGAAATAGTTCTAACGATATTTATGGAACAAATGAAAAAAAAGATCAATTGATGTAGCCTATAAAATTCAATATTTGGAATTATGACTAAAAACAAGATTTATCATTCTAAACCAGATGGGAAGAGAACAAACCACCTCAATGTAATATAGTATATAGTGTATACTTTTGAAATGTAATATGTCACATTTCAGAAGTAAATATACTAATTGATGATGAAAAACTAAAAAAACTTTAAACTTTAGATTTGGAACAAGACAAGGATGCCCACTGTCACCACTTCCGTTTAGTTAAATATTAAATATTTTGCTTAAAACAAACAAACACTGGAAATAAAGAGAATCCAAATCAGAAGTGAATCTATGTTTATTTACAAATGATGTATTATACATAGGAAATCCTAAAGGGAAATCCCAATTAATGAAAAGAGCAAAGTGGCAGTTTACAAAATCAGCATACAAAAATTCATAGCCTTTTTATATAAAAATAATGAGAAACAAAAGAAATTAAGAACATAACTCCATTTATAATTACTTCTCCAAGAATCAAACTGAAGTAAAAACGTATACAAATAGAAACACATGTTACTAAAAGAATAGTGACTGAAAGAGATGGAAGCTTATCTAATGCTCATGGATGGGAGAATCAATATAATCAAAATTAAATTCAGCATAATTGATATTTAAGTTTAATGCAAGCTATCTTTTAATTGAAAAAATACTGAAATTTATATTATACCACGAAATAGGAGCAAAAGTAACCCTGAGAAAAAAGGAGAGAAGTGGAGGGAGGTCTCAAGTTACCTGACTACACATGTTAAAGCAACAATACTAAAAACAACATGATATCGGCACAAAAATAGGTACATGAATCAATGAAATCGAGTATAAAGTCCAAGATAAAATTAACAAAACACCAGCACTCAATCTATGGTAAAACAGCTACAACCATGAAGTGAGGAAAGAAAAGTCTCCTAAATAAATGGTGCTGAGAAAACTGGAAAGCTACAAATGAAAGAATGAAATTGATCATTTGATTATTCAGTAACCTCATACAAAACAATAAACACCAGATGGATCAAAGTCTTTGATTTAAGACCTACAACACTAAAACACAAAAAGAACATTGTCATTATGATCCATGGTATCTGTGATAAGATTAGTTTTGGTGACTTGAGACATATGGCATGGGAACTAAAGACAAAAATAAACCATTGGAATTAGCTAAAGTTAAAAAAGTTTCTATAAAAGAAGCTTCTATAAGATGATTAAAAAGATACTGTATTTTATGGAAAATGTCTACACCACATGCAACTGATAAGGAATTAATATCCAGGATATATATTAAGTACTTGTAAAAGTTTTTAAAGATTTATTTATATATGTATACAGAACTGGGGTACAGGCCAGAGGTACAGGGGCAGTGAGAGGATTTGCCAGAGACAGTGCAGAGCAGAACAAGCCGACTGAAGAAGTACACTCCTGAAGGGAGCAGAGGGTGGGACAGGAGAGGTCTGCTATGGTACGTGGGTCACCTCCAGGGCGAGGATCAAACTCATGCTGAAGTGCTTTAGCTTCTTAGTGCTGCGCTTTAGCACACTACTCCACCAGGGAGGGCCCAATATTTGTAAAATTTCACAATAAAATTAGCAACAACCCAATTAATAAATGGGCAGCAGATCTAAATAACCATTTTGACAAAGGATAGCTAAAAGGCACAAGATGAAAAAGGTCCCTCCCCCCTTCCAGGAAAGAAGATGGAGGTTAAAACCACAATGAGTTTGCTTGTCTACTGCCCATAAGAATAACACATATTGAAAGATCTCCAATAACTACTGATAAGGATGTAGAGAAAAAGGAAACCTACACTATTTATTGGAATGTAAACAGGCACAACCATTATGTAATGTCATCTGGATTGTCTTTTAAAAACTCAAAATGGTAAGAATGTATGGCCCAGTAATCCCATTCTCTGACATATAGCCAATGAATACAAAATTCTTGGTGCAAAAGTTCATATGGTGCACAATGGCCATAGCCATGTTACTTAAAATAGCATGGACACGGAGCAGCCTAAAGGTCCAAACACTTTCATAAACCAATGGACATCAACAAACATCCTGAGGTTTCTGAGGTTAAGAAGGGGAGCAGAAAGGGCCAAGGAATTGAGAGGAGCTGAGACCATGGGAACTTGGGGAACAGGAAAGGCTGAGACACTAAACAGTGATTTTAAACAATAGAGGACCAGAAGGAACAAAACAGCTCCCAGGAAAACAGAAATGTTGCTGAAATGTTGTTGTGCTAGCCACCATCTAGAGGAACATTCAGGTACAGGATAATTAGGGAACAGAAAAGCCACCACCACCACAAATATCCCCGACCTCCTAGTACTTAATCAGTAGCTGGCACACTGGGCAACGGGCAGTCTGACAGTATGTAGTCATAGACAGGACTAGAGAAAATGGGCATCCTCCCGTTGACCCCCTCCTGTTGTCAGGAGTTCTTTCTCTTACTTTAATAAATCCACACATACTTGCTCTCACATTTGGTGTGGCAGCTGTTACTCTTCAACTGGTGCACACACCTGGACCTATGAGCATATACTCTCTTAACATAACTTTTGGGGTCTGACTCCCAGGCCCAAGCCCAATTCAGGATGATGTTCGTCATCCTCATAAGCTTCTCTACAGTAACAGCGCCTCTTTCCTGAGTTGGATTAGAGTCAACCAGTTCTACCTCATTTCAACTGCCTCTTCTACTGCTTTCTTTTAGGTTTTTCTGGTAGTGAATTTTTCAGAATGAAAGCCATTTTCAGGAAAGTTTCTTTTAATTTCAATGATTAGATGACCTTTTCTCATGGTATGGTAATGAACATGTCTTCCTTAGACACACACATGTTATCTCCATGTTTGTCAATCTGACCTGGATGAGCGATAATTACCAGGGTTTGGCTGTCAAAAAGTCACAGTGCTTCAACCAGCTGTATGTCCACACACATACAAAGTCTCCTCACATGCAAATCAACATGGTCCTCCTGTTCTACAATGGTAAGCTTTCCTGGCTTCAGTCCTGGTTCTTGGTCTCCTTTACCTGGAATGCTGTCGCCTTGTCATGCTTCTGTCAGTATGAACTTCTAGAATCTTGTCTTTTAAACTGCCTTCCGTCCATTGCAGCTTTTACATTTATCTTTAGGATTGATCTAGTGCCCCTTCACCTTGGCATTCCATGCACAGAGACTGAATTTGCTACATCATTCCAGGTCCTATTTGAAGAACTCTTATTTGCATTCTAGTACCTTGCTAATTGGGACAGCACTTTACTGCTTCTTTTTTACAATTCCAGCCTTCACATTTGTCACAAACCACATTTTCCCACAGAGCTAGTTTTCTTACTGCATTATCATATGAATCTAAATTTGCTGACAATGGATGCATGACATCTTTACCACTCCTTTCTTTCTGCAGGGAACCAAGCCCACTACCTGTGCTACCTTTGTTAATGGCTCATTCTCCTCTGTCATAAAAATCCTTTTTCTTTCCATAAGAGATCATTTCATAAGCTTGAGAAATCTATTTAAGCTTCTGTCATTCATTTGGAGGTACTTCAAGGCCAATTTCCTCTAAGTCTTTTTCTGTTCTTCTTGGGTGGCATTTGGGTTTGACTGCCAAAACATCATAGTAAGTGGTTTATTCTCTATTTTCCATTTTCACTGACCACTCAGTCAGTGAGCAGGCTGAGGAATGAATATATTGAATGTGTACAATTTGTGCAGCTGCTTCTCCTCCTGACTGAATAAATTTTCCTACAGATAATGCTTCACAATATTTTGTTGCCTTAAAATGAAAATTATGTGAGACTTTGCAAATATAAAATAAAAGATTCAAAATTTATCACTGACACTTTGCTTTAAGGAAAAAAAAAAAAAAACCTTCCTATATGTTGGCATTTAATATGCTAAGGAAAGACAGGGCTAATTATTTATGGGTCTCAGACTTTGCAAGGACACATGAAAAATACTAATTGTTAACATCAAGGTGATGTTACACAGAAAGATTGCTATATCAGAAAAATAAGGCCAGTTTGAATCCATCCAGATTTCATTATAATTTTTCACATCTATCATTTTCATTGTTCTTGTTTCCTTCCAACTCCTCTCCATATGGATATTTTACAAACTGCTAATCATCCTTTCAATGACTTTTGAGTTTGATTCTTTTCCAGGTTACGCATACTCTGTTGGAGCATGTTAGTGCTGTAACAATTTCTAATGAAAACCAAGCCCAAACAGTTCCTGTCACTCTTCCCTCTCCATTATCTGAAATCTATCCTTTCCTCATCTGTCAGTCATTCTCTCCTGTTTCAATGGATAGTCATCCAATGCTCAGGTTTTCAGACACACCCCATCACTTGCACCACTGCCTAAGTCAGTAAAATGATGTTAGGGAAGCAGAGGAGCAAACCAAGTGTGGTTTTCCCCTGGGCTTGAAGGGAAGGAGGTTATGAATATACATGCACCAGAATTTTTTTCTCCCTTGATGCATTGATTTGACAGTTGTGAAGTTTGAATAGCAATTGTATAATTTTACATTGCATATCCCACTTCTAAAGAAAGAAAGGCCAAAAGAACACAACTAGAGAATACTGAAACTAGCATCTCTTAGTGACAGCAGCGTTAATCTTTCCTTCCTTCCTTCCTTTTTTTTTAAATTTATTGCTTATTTCACAGTCATAAACTGACCTCTGTCATCCAGCTACTAGACTTGGAAAGTGATAGGGAAAATATGGAACTCAAATAACTGTAGGGACACCATAAAGGTTATAGGATTTTTCAAGCAGATGGGGATGAAGGGACACGCTCCTGCACTTCAGAAGTAATATCTGGGGTTAGGATAAATAAGTCAAAATTATGAGCTTTGTCCAATCAGCACTGGTGCTCTTCTTGCGGTCCTGGCCATCCCCACACCCAAAGCCCTCATGGCTTCCACAGCACGTACACCCTCCTTCATCTTGCCAAAGACCATGTGCTTCCGCCAAGCAGCCCACCTTGGCAGTGCAGGTGAAAAACTGGGAGCCACATGTGTTGGGTCCAGCATCTGCTGTTGATAAGATTCCAGGGCCTGTATGCTCAAGATGAAATTCTCATCATCAAATCTTCTCTCCATAGAGGGATTTGCTTCCAGTGCCATTGTGGCGTGCGGTCACCACCTTGGCACACAGATCCTGGAATGATTCTGTGGCCAGTGGAGCCTTTATAGCCAATACCTTTCTCCCCATTGGTCATGGCACAAAAGTTTTCTGCTGTCTTTGGCAAACAGTGCCAAGACCACCTGGCCCAAGGGCTTGTGCCGACAGGGATGTGGAAGACAACATGGGCCTCGCCATGGCTGTGCCATGCGGTGGGTCTTACAGTGGCAGTATCTTCAAAGCCTTCTTTCTCTTTTCCATGCAGTGGCAAAGATTTAGAAGTTGATTAATATGAAGTCACATTTAGATACTCTCAGATAATGATCTTGTTCAATATTTCTAAAATGTGCAATATGTACATTTTAAATGAAATTTGGCTGTATATCTATTTTAATGTGGTTTAGGAAAATAATTATAAAAATATTTAAATAATTTTTGGAAATATAGAGTAGTAATATAAGTAGGTTTTTTTTTTTTTTAAGATTTTATTTATTCATACAGAACTGGGGTACAGGCCAGAGATGCGGAGGGTGAGAGGATTCACCAAAGACAGAGCAGGGAGCAGAGCAGGCAGATCGACGAAGTACACTGCTGAGGGGAGCAGCCGGCAGGTCAGAAGAGGTCTGCCGCGCCATGTGGATCTCCTCTGGGGCAGGCGGGAATCGAACTCATGCCGAAGTGGCTTTAGCTTCTTAGTGCTGTGCTTTAAGCCGCTGCGCCACCAGGGAGGGCCCATAAGTAGGTATTTTATATAAATATAATAGAATGTACTATTTGATTAATAAACTTTGTCCTACTGATATGTATGTAAAAAAAGACATGAATGAACTAAATAAAACAAAAATTATGCCTTTGGGCTACAAAACAATAGTAGTTATCAGCAGGGAAAGTGGAAGATGGGTAAGTAAATCAGGTAAAAGGGATCAATTTTATAGGGCTGGATGGGATTAGACTTTTAGTGGTGAACACATAAATATAAGGTAGTGTAAGTAGACAGTGACATATAATGAACACTTAAATTTTATATAAAATTATAAATTAATAGTTACTTCAATTAAAATTTTTTGAAATAGACTTAAATTAAAAATTAAGAAACATAAGTAAATTCAGCTCCTACCCAAATCTGTTGAAAGTTTCTAAGGAGTTTGTAAAACAATGATGGTGGGACTATCTGGGTACATTGCATGTCATGAGACGTCTGCTGTGTGCCCGACAGTCTCCCTCTCCTGTGCAGTGACAATCTCCTTTGTTGTGCTGTCTCAGTCCAGGCTCTGAGTTCTAAGATTAACCCTTCCTTCCTGTGGCTGCTTGACTTCCTTCATCTCCTAATTTTCTCCTGAAGACACAGTTTACCCCTCTAAAAATTACCAAAGGTCACTCCTCATGCCTGCTATGCCTGAGAAGCAGATGGCAACTCTCTACAAAACAGGTTCTCATACAATCCTGAGCAAGCACACAACATCTTTAATAGCAGCAATTTGGGGAAGACCAAAGACCTCATGGTGTGTGTGTGTGTGTGTGTGTGTGTGTATTTATGTATATATACATAACTATATGTATACATATATTACAGTTTGTTTCTGTCACATCAGATTTCCAATCCCTACCCCTTCATTAAAATGTGACCTGGACACCAAGACTCTTGTCAACTACCTGAAAAATCTTTCTAGTTAACAACACAAGGGACATACAAATTATTTTGCCAATATGATTCCATGATTACAACTTAATCCTTAAAAATCAATTATAAAATTAAGTTGGGAAAAATAAACTTTTTTTTTCTTAATTGTGACATTTTGATATACAAAGATTTCTTCTTGCCTTACCCAGGCATCACTTAGTAGTAAGCATCAGCTTTTGAAACTGTTCACAATATGTGTACAGAATATTATCCAAATAGCCAGGATTTAGCTTTAACTTAGTAAATGGACACATTCAGGAACAGATACCTTGGTAATCTTATGGCACTTAAATCCACCAGTGAATTATCCACTAACCAGAGGGTTTTGACTCGAATTAGTCTTCTAAGAATTCTTTTAAAATTTTCAACTTGATAAGGGTCCCCCAAATCCTGAAATGACAGGTTCAAATTCTGAAGGACAAACACATAAAAAGAAAATCAAGTTTTGTCATCTTTTAAAAATAGTTATTAATCAAAAAGTTGTTGCCCATGTATTTTAAACAGGTAATTTTCACATTTTTTTAAATGCTGTACTCTAAAATACACATAGAAACACAGTTATGCAGCAGAAGTTCTCAGGGGAGGACAAAGATCCTGACTGTCCTATAATTATAATTATGCCCAGTGTTGGATGTGGAAGGGGGCTGGAGCCTAAAACAGATTCTGAAGCACTCTAGGAGTGAGGTGATGGCACTGTGTTCAGGAACTCCTGGTTTAAATTAGTTAGCTTTAGACCTTTTGGAAATATTCAGAATTATTTTTAAAATTTCAAAATAAGATACCATTATTTGACAAATGAAAACTATGATTTTGCTTTTAAGTGACAAAAAATACATTCCTAAAAGACATAGCATTATCTCAAATATAGTGGATATTTTATTTTCACTGTTGACATCAGTCAGTTTTGATGCAATGGAAATTAAAACCACTCTTGGTGGTAAGCAGCTCATATTTCTGTATTTAAAAAAATGGTCTATTAACCTCTTGAGTTTATTATGTCCCGTTTCCTATAGGTATAAGTGTAATATATCTCTTATGAATTTTAATAATTTCATTTATAATAAGCAATTCCTATTATAAGTATTTTAATAGTTGCCTAATTAATATTCCCAAAGTGGGAAAATCAGTTTATTTAACCATTTTCACAGTGAGATGAGACTGACAAAACAATGAAAGCAGAATTTACAGACGAAACTAACATTAGCACATAAAAAGTGCTCTATTCAAAGACCTATATTTAGATAGTACAAGATTTTCTATATCCTAGTCTTGCTTAAATGTTTAAATATGTACAGTATAATGACTCTGAAATAGGAAATATTAATTTCTTTTTTTTTTAAAGATTTATTTGTGCATACAGAACTGGGGTACAGGCCAGAGGCTCAGGGGCGGTGAGAGGCTTCACCAGAGACAGAGTGGG